AAGAGAAAAATGACGCATTATGATAGTAAAGTCCGCTATGTAAAAAGAAAGTTCTGCTGAAAAATAGAAAAGTTGGGTATACTACCAGTGTGGCATAAATTTGGTGTTTTTTTGATTAATTAGTAAAGTCCTTCTATTCACTAGCGGGCTTTAGGTAAAGTAGACAATTTTTGGATCTTTGACAGCCCTCCTATGATTCGATAGGGAATTTCTGAAGAGATATTTAATTTAATTTTATAACAAAATATTTGCTCCGTTGCATTTTAACAAAAGAAGTATATTTTCATTAGAGGTGTAAATCGATCATCTAAGCCATCACCACAGGAGCATAAAAATAGACACTAGAGTTTTGGAAAATTTTCCGATAACCAATATCAGTTTTCAGACAAGTTCTTGCCTAGTTTCTTATCATCACATTCTCTACTGTCACTTTATGCGTTTTTCATTTCAAAATTTCATAGAATTAAGAAAGCTTCGAAAGTTTTCAATCGCCATCATCGATTAATAATCGGCTTACATCGCTACTTATCATATCAACCTTTCTCTTCTTTATTTTATAAACCATCGGATGAAGAGATAGCTTCGGAGAATTATTCGATGACATTGAATTGGAAAATTTTCTAATTTTAGATGGTAAACTAAAACAAGGATTTTATGCTACAACATTATTTCTAAAACATTCTATCATTTACATAGCAAATTGTCAGATACAGACATGATTAAAATGTTGATATTAAATTGATCTCGAAAGTAAAGAAATTTTCCCTGCACACTTATTTAACCATCAAGTCTTTGATGTTACGATGTCAATGAATTCGAGAAGAGTTTTTTGAACAAGTATATTTCTATATATATATACGTAGTTCAAATAGAATATGAATTATAGCTTATTTTCGTCTTGTATAGATTTTATTGAAGCTTGTCGTTTTCAATTTATTGAATGTGCACGTGATATATTAAATGAATAAAGAGAAAACATAATAAATATTTTGTTCAATAGATTTGCTGTTATAAGATATCAAATTTTGTTTTAGTTACAAGTGAATGTTTAATATTCTCATATGATATAAATAGTTCTTGTATTTTTTGAAATTTTCGTCCTTCTATAAAGATTTAGAAACTTTACCGGTAAAGAACAAAATAAGTCAGCACAATAATTTTTTGACAGCAAAACAATTAAATCGTCTGAAAGGACTTATCATCTGAAATTCGTTCAAATTACCTCATGTTGATACGTGAAACACTATTTTAGAGTAGCAAGTAAACTTTGATTGAATATCGCACAGTTTTCAAAACGTTCCGCCGCCCCTGATCGACAACCACACTCATCCCCACATTCTGGTTTCCGTGAATCCCTCTAATTTATAACTTCTGGACGGTAGGTATGTATTCACCCATACTTACATCCTGCCTAAATTCAGAATTGAGAAAAATGAAGTGCCTCTGTTCTAGAAATTCAATACTCAAATGAAAACTTTGAAAAATATTTCAAAATTACATGAAAATAATTTCTATGCTTGCCTAACTGTAGAAGTAGGTCCACCATTCGTTTCTAGAAAGGAAGTTCGACGAACATAGCAAATATATTCTATTGAGTTGCAATTCAGTTTTGCAGTGAATAATGTAGCAGAAAATTTGATTCAAATCAACTGTTTGTCTTCCATTAAGTTTTGTCCATTAAAAATGCTAAGCAAGTGAATTTTCTCTTGAGTTATTTCTGTTTACTGTTTTTTTTCGATTGTATGTTGATGTAAGAACAAATGAAACCTTCAAGTGTGATGCAATTGTTTTTCGAGCAAGCAACAGCACAGTAAAAACAAAATAAAGTGGGTAATCGTCTATTCATGCTGCAAACGAAGTTATTCAGTCGTTTTTTTAGTTTTTCATTTTGTTGACAGTACCATCTCGAAGACTGAATACTGATTGTGAGTACTTTAAAATAATACGATATATTTTCTTTTATTTTTTGGGCAATTGTTCAATATTTCCTTAATATCATAAACCATAAAACGTTATCGAACACTATGTAGATGATCATTGCTAACAATTAAATACAAATTTGTAGTTTAAGTCGATTTGTTCTGACGAGTAAAACAGAAATGAGACTGAGCAAACCAATGAGGTTTCTATTTAAGCAGTATGGGTATTAAGGACACTAATAATGGCCTGACAAGGCTCCATAGATATTAGCGGTGGACTCAGGTTTTCGGCTAATATTGATCCAACCAGCTGCATCTTGTAAGAATAGAATGTGCCGTAGAATGGTAACAGTTGGACGTGGGTGTGGGTGTGACTGTGAACGAAAAGAAGACTCACATCCATACTCACACTTACACTCACACCCTTTCTATTGTTTTTCTTTACTGAGTAAATGTTTTTGTCAATGCTATAGATTATTATAATGAAAATGAAGTCTTTTTAATTCGACATTTTTTCTTTTGGATATTTTCCTTTTGGTATTTTTCGTTCTACAGTTTTCTATTCGACAATTCTTTTTATCGGCGTTTCACTTTTCAATATTTTGCTTTCCTTTCTTTTTCCATCATACCTATTATTCTATGCATAAAGGTAGAATACTTTACGTTTTCTTCAGAAGAGTTTCTAATGCTAGGCACAATGACGGATTATTTTACGCTTTCTCTTACGATGTAGACATTCTGATAGTTGTCCAGCATGTTATGAGATGAATAGCACAAGATAATTCAGTTTAATTTTCTTTTGGTATTTACTTATCACGATGGTTCTCCAGCGTCTCATCACAGAAACAGAATAAAATGGTTTCGTGTGATTTTTCGTGCTTGATTTAGATATTTCTGAAGTTTTTAATAATATTATGCGAGAAATTGGATAAGTTACTTTAGTTAACTTTTCTTTTTCTTCATATAGTTGTCTTGATAGTTGTTGCGCATTTTATGCAACAATACCAACAAATTATTGTAGTTTTCTTTTCCCCTAATACATATATCGATAGTTTTCCTGCATCCTGCAAGAGAAATTGAGGAAATTACTATATTTTACTTTCCTCTTTCTTCATATAGTATTTCTGATTGCTGATGCTCACTTTGCGAGAAAGAGAATCAGAAAACTGACGTTCCTTTTCTTGTCTTCGCTTAGTTATTCCGACAACCGTAGGACATCCTATCAGAAACATTCAATAGGCTAGTGTAGTTTAATTTGTCATTTTTCATTCAGCTATTCCTATTGACGTCTCGATCTTATAGTAGAAATGGAATCAAAAAATTAGCTTTAGTTTTCTTGTCTCCATTGAGTTATCCTAATAGTTGTCTATCATGTTATGAGAAAAATCGGATAGATTCGTTTAGTTTAATTTCCCTTTCATCGTTTCGTTATCGTTATAGGATTCCAGGGCCTTATGAATGAAATTGAATAGCGTGCTTTTGTTTGCTTCCTTATTCTGTATTTAGTTCTGCTCATAGTTCACAAGTATGTATTGAGCAAAATGGAATAAGTTCGTTTACGTTCATTTCGTCTTTCGCTTTTCAGATAGTTAATCAACTGTTTATGAACGGAAATATGTTAATAGGATTCATTTTCCTTTTATTTTTCTTGGTTAAGCTGTCATGATAGTTGTCCGTTATCTTTGGAGGAGAATCGATTAACTTATTTCACTCTAATTTTTTCTGTCTTCATTCATGTGTACTGATAGTCGTAGAGCGTTTTATGATCCAAATGAAAGAGGATAATTTACTTTTTTTTTCTTTTCTTTTCGTTATTCAGATGTTTTTATACTTTTTGCAACATATTGTGACGTGAGTAGAATGAAACGGTTCAGTTTCGGTGTGTTTTTACACGCAGCCTTATGTACTACTGCGTTCGAGCAATTATTGAGTAGGTGCACCGACAGTTCCATGCAAATGGTTTTTTTTTATTTTGTTTATGTAAAATTAATAGGATTTCCAAACTTCAGAAAGAACGGTTTATGGATGTAGGTGTGAGGGAAGAGCACATGTTGACCGACGCTCGCACTGACACCTCACACCTTTATCCACACCCACTATATCAATTGACATGTCAGCAAATCAAATAGAATGGGTTTGTACCCTATCCGAAACTTGATCAAACGAGATGCATCCGGTTCAACATTGCTCAACTGCTGCAAAGATAATGCCAAAGCATTGAGTTAACCCAACTATAGCGATTTTCAGCAGTCAGAATTGATCTTAACCTTTCTATCAGCTACTTTTTTTTGGCAGTGGCATAACCAGCTGATCTAATTTTTGGATAAGACTATGATTGGACTCGTCCTTTTGATTGAGATTAATAAATACAGAATCTGAAACTCTTCGCCCGACAGTTCCCGTGCATCCTTAAGTGGCTCTTTGAGCAGCTGCCTTGAAGGTATTCGAGTATGTTAACTGGCCTATCAGGTATCGCCAATACAGGTATACTACCCTCACAAAGTTAAAAAAAACAATTTAGGCAAAAGATGTGAAGCTTATATTTGTGAAAAGCATCTTTGAAATCATTGATAAAGGATGTTTGAGAGAGAGAGAGAGAAAAGAGAAAGGTCAGCAAAAAAAAGATCATCTGACGTGTTAGAGATCATTAACGGATAAAAGCTGATAGGATAAGTATGAAATCCAATATACCTATTAAGGTGTGACGTTCTTAGAAGACACTGTGTTGCTGAATTTTGAGGATCGTATAAAAAACAATATAAGCTTCGTGAAACATCGCGTTATTATAGCATGCACAACTATGATGTAGCTGTATAATTAGATTGTCGTTCATCTTCCTTAAGATTACAAAGTTTCCGTGCTATTACATCTGCCAACAATAAATTTTGAAGCCATCTTCATAACAGATTTTGTATGCGGTCTGGTATGTCAATAAACAACTCTGTTGTCAAGAAATTTATCATTTGCATGGTAGTTCTTTTGATTGTACTGTATATGATTTATTTACATTCATCGAGATATTTCGCTCTTAGTAATGCTACAGCATTAAAAACTAGCCATGATCCTTTGTTTATTATCATTATGGCTTCTTATGTGCGAAAAAATGGTCGATCACCGTATTACATAAAAAAATCAGTTCGATCAATACTTTCTCAATCATACGCCAACTGGGAACTATTTGTCACTGGAGACAAGTACGAAAGTGAAACAGAATTTCGCTCGCTGTTCGCAAGTATACCGCCGTCAAAGTTATTTTTGCACAATTTACCAGAACCTGGAGAACGAGGTAATCTAACTGGTGTTCCGTTGTGGGAAAGTGGCGGTGTTTCGGCCATGAACAACGCATTACAACGTGCTGAGCAGCATCATAATAATTGTAGCTTAAGATCCAATATATATGTTACAAATCTTGATGATGACGACGTCTGGTCTACAGAACATCTGAATGAACTTCAATCGATCTTCAAGCGTTTTCCATCGGTTGTTTTTACATGGACTAAAGGATACTATTGTCATAATCGTGGCGATCCATATCCACCTTTGATAGTCCCACAAGATAGAGTCAACAATTGGCCTGGAGGTTTTGGCGGTAGTATACTACATTCTTCTCGGTCATGGAAAATGGAAGTTTTTCGAGGTTTTCGATACCGTGCGCAATGGGATTTTCCACGAAATTTTCAAGGAATAAAAGCAGCGGATGCTGATTTGTTTGAAGTAGTACGGGTATATGTTGCTGCAAAAAAGTTAGATTACTATCACAGCAACCAAGCTACAATCGAGCATCTTATCGAAAGGGGAATATCATGTCTTAAAAATGGACCATTATGGTATCCTGACTAAATCAAATGATCCTCTTTCATGTCTAGTATAAAATGACTGTGTGAAAAATTGCAGCGAATAAATTCAATTAAATAAAGAGTACGATAATATGCCTCAATACTGAATTCTTTTTTTCCTTTATACGCATCTATCAGCGCAGAGAGTTCTATGTTGGTAAGACGAACTCATTATTTTCCAGAATATTAGAATGAGGATGGTCAAAGGTGAGGACAGTAAGCTGTAAGTTCACGTGACATCTCTAAGCCATGCGTTCTCATTATTATTCACATAATCCGCTAAAAACCTAATGCACCTTCATTATCACATCCCTACTATCACGTCACTAGTGGTACACTCATTATCGTTCTATCTCGCTAGCAAGACTCTCATGTAAATGACAGTCTACTACCCTTCCATTTCCATAGGAGAATTCATGACAATAATTAATCTAGGAATCCTTAAAATCAAATTCGATTATAAATATTCGAGTGTCTTTTTACTTAGTTCTAAAGCTTTTTTGATAATTAAACATGATCGGAGAATAGTTCCTCCGAAAGTATTGCACATTTACAGTAATCGTGGTCAATCAAGCTGAGACTTTCAGTGACTAAGACCCTCCCTCACTACCCTATGACCTTTGACAAAAGAATCCTAATAGCTTTCTATCGGTATTATGTTACTTTTGAAATCATAAGAATGACACATTTTTTGCTAGGGTTAACCGTTTTCCTGATTTTTCATCATTTTGAGTGTGGACTTTGGTAAGGTTTTGTGTGTAGGCTTCGATGTTCTTTTCACCTAGATTCTCATCCATACCCACACTCACTATCACCCTTTGGCCATCCAATCATTATTTTGTGTCATGCGTTTACTCGTTCATCAATGTTTTGTCACCACTATAAGTGTGGGTGTGTAGGTGTGCGGTGCGGTTGTGGATTTGGGTGGGGTATGTGTGAGATGAAGACTTAAATCCACAACACATACCCAAACATCTACGTCCACATCCACACCCATCCACACTCACACGCCCATACCTACATCCACGCCCACACCCTCTAACCTGTTATTTTTGAAAACTAGGGTGTGGGTGTAACTAAAAGAACAACACCCACACTCACACCCTTATTGATCATAATAATAGTCGTTGGAGTTCACCAAGAGCTTTTTTCTATTTACTGCTTCACTTGATAATACTGTTCAATATGAGTTCTGAGCACCATTATCATTAATTTTTTTGTCGATAAGTTTTATTTGAATAATTGTTCATTGTAATTGTTTCTTTTGTTCCGGATTTCTGAGCAAATATTAAAATTCAGTAGTCACGCGTTAACTGCGTGATACAGAATAGATAAATATATGTATGTGGGTAGCATATGATAACAAAAAAAAGCATCTTATCTCGACTGAGTTTGAATATGACGCTCCTACCTTCTTTCAACTTCATTTTATTTCGCCGTTGCGCTTATTTATCTTACTCATCTTGTGCACAGAGACATACTCCTTTCGCCACTACTAAAGACAATCATAATGGCGATGATTTGTATTCTTGATCCAGCTCGGCACCACTCATCATTAACTGTCGATCAAGACACGAAATTCCTACGATCTAAAAATGATCCCGAGCATTTTTTAAACGATGATCCCCATATTTATCGAGTTTTCTTCGTCTGTTGTGATTATAACTCGATAGCTGTCGAACGAGCACTAGATTTAACACACATAGTATCAATTTGGCAATGCAGAGACCATTATCCTTGTCTGAGAGATCCGGCGTGTCCTGCCAGAGTACGTGAACCCATCACATTCCACTCACAAAAGAACGATTTTTCGGAACGGGAATTTAATGCTTACATGGATATTCTTATGGAGTGCAGATTGAATAGAAATCAACAGCAGGCCAAGAAGGTAATATGCGCATTAAAACGAATCGAGGATCAGTCATCATGCTACAAATCTCACTCTTCGATTCCAGCCGAAGATTCACAAATTGCTTCAGTCTCGCAGAACATGCTGTTAGATGAGTACCATCCAAGCGAACAAGCGACATGATGAATATGTTATCACAGACACTATGATATTCACTGTTTAGTCAAGGCTTATTTATCTCGCTTTACTGCTTTTTCAGACTCAGAATGTGAATAAATGTAATCAAGACATTAACAATATTAAAACATAATACCTGCCTTTATTTCTAAAAGATGATGAGCCGTATAAGCAATGGATTTGAATAATAGAAATATTTCGAAATGTTGGATTTAGTGCTTCTTTGCTAGACAGCTAGACAAATGGGGTGGTCGAAAAATCATCGATTTTTACTCACTCTGGAAATAATATAGGATGAAAGTACTTTAATAGTATATAACTACTCTGATATAGGTTTGTTGAAATCTTATCCCTTTTGGGAATAAAAAACTATGAAATGTCAAAAATCATTGTATATATGTCGAGATAATCAGAGAATTAATTGTTAGATAAATTATAATATTTCAACAGTTTTTTAAGAATATATAATTGTATTTAAGACAGAGTGACTACTTACTACTCTCATTTTGACTAAAGCAAGTGAACTTTTGCTTAGAAATCTATTTCTTTATATGTTATAGAGTGTATATTATACTTGTACTTAAAAAAAAAAAACTTTCATACCAATCTATTCAAGTGTTTTTATTAACAATATGAAAATTTAGCAAGTTTTCCAGAGTATAAAAGATCAGTTAGGCTTTTTTCATTTGACATCTTAAAAGTGTTCAGTATCACATAAATAATTCTCATCTTCATTATCGGTAACATCGCTTATCATAATTTCATCATTGTTAAGTTTTTGTTCACGTCGACGTCGATTAAAAGATTGGAGATTTGTAATGTTTTGTTCTAAGGCAATTGATTTTACATTATATGTTGGTATCGTTATTCCATTTAAATTAGCATAAAACCAATATAAAGCAGCTATAACGTGTGCACATGTTCCTACTGAACGTGCACCTGATTTGCATGAACAATATGAATTAATATCTTTAATATTTAATGATAATTCGTTGTCACTGTCATAATCATCTGTTCATGTCGAGTGTTTTGGTTGATCACCATTAGTAAATTGTAGAAACACTTTGTGATGTTTAGGTGAAGTTCTTTTTGAGTATCTCGATGTTATACCTTCTATTTTAATAACACTTGAATATTGTTTTGATTTATGTGTTTTAATTGATAGAGACGAAGCATGTTGTAAATATGGAATAGCTAATTTCAATGCATATTCACCTAATCCATAATTTCGAATAGTATTCAATGTTAATTTAGGTATTAAATCAATAATTTCATCAAACTGTTTTGTAATTCATTGATTTGTTGGTACGTTTTCTAAAGCATTTGGAACAACTTCACGATGTTTAATAAAATCAATATTTTGTTGGTCAATATCAGTTGTCATAAACAGTGGTTCAAAATATTTGTTATCAATAGCACCTAATATTCTTAGTAATGAACCAAGTTTAGAAATTAAATTAGTATCAATGGTTGCATTAATTATTTTCCATTGTTTCAATCTTGCAAACCCACGTTCAATACAATTTCGGAGTTTAGTTATTTTTCTGGTAGCATTGGCATTTTCTGTTGATAGTTGAACCTGGTTTTTATTTAATGAAAATGGTATACGAACTGTGAATCTTTCGTCATCAACATCTCGAAATCCTCGATCACCTAAAAATTCATCAGTTTCTTCATCGAATATATCATGAACATTTCCAATATCTTCTGCAACAATATAATTCCAAATCGAAGCATCATTATGGTCTCCATCAGCATAAAATGGTCCAATTAAATCAAACCAAGTACCATTAGCAAATTGAATACCCATAACTTTAACGAGATTTCGTTTTTTTTGTTCTGACCAAGTTTTTCGTTGAATTTCAAAACGTTCCGATTTTTGACAATAAAAGTAAGTTCCATCAATAAAACCAACAACATTTGAAAATAATTTTGTAAATAGATCAGGTGTAAAGAAAAATATCCCGACTGGAATCAGAATAAAGGATATAAACGTCGTTTATTCCTTGAAGAACTTGGAATGAGTTTAGTCTCACCACTTCTGGATTATCGTTCAAAAACTTCGACAAATTTACACAAAGATATTCGAAATGCGTTAGCCTTGTTTGGTTATCCTGTGATAGAGCAAGAATTACAAGAAGCAAACAAAAATTCTACACAATCCAAACGAAAACGATGCGCATTTTGCCATTTTTCTAAGGATAAGAAAACGTCTAATCAATGCTGTAAATGTTCAGAGTTTATTTGTAACGAGCATTCTGTAAAACGTATCTGTTGTATTACTTGTTCGAAATAAAAAGAAATAGTCGCTCTGATAGTTTTTTTTATTCAAACTGCGTATGCCAATATCATATTTACATCAAAACACTGATGCAACAAGAAAACAATCACGATAGAAAACTATATACTACTAGTAAATCGCGGGAAAAGGCTTGGGGTTCCTAGGGTTAATGAAGAGAATTGTTTCAGAAGAGCTTTGTGTATTGATATAAGTATCATTTTCTCGTTCATATGTTTGTGTATCCTATTCTTTTGATTTTCCTTCTACTTGAAGATGACATTTGTATCGATAGACCTACAAACGTATTCGTCTTAATATCATCCTTATATTTATATGCACTATGATGTCTTTTTTACTCTCGATAGTGTATCTCTATATAATGATATCCTTTTTGAGGTCATCCTTTATTATCGATGACGAGTGTCCTTGCTACCGTTTTTTTGTCCTCCATGGTCCATTGCTTTTCGACACATTTTTTTTCTCTTCTCTTCATTCCTGTCGTTAGAGAACGAATATTACCTTTGATGCTATTCTTTTTTTTCTTTTTCTTTCTCATATATATGTGCATGGTTTGGCTTCTTTTTTTTGAAATATATACATTGAAGAGTACAGTTTCTCTTTCGTTTATAGACGGGAACTTATCATTTCATAGAGAGAGCCCATATCCTTGTATCGCGGTATAGGATAATATCATTTGTAGTATTATCCATGTGCCTTCGTACGCAACATGATATTCTTTTTGTATCTGTCTTTGTATAGTTCAGTTCTTGTACAAGTTCTATAATCTTTATTCCGTTATAGAAAGGATACGTTTAGTCGGAAGACATACAGCGAATAAATATATACGAATGGGAATAGATGCAACACAAAGTAGTTGTGGAAGAAGAGAGAGACTATGCTATACATTGCAGTGTTACAGTATGTTTCTTTGATTACATTGTGTAATGAACTACTAGTGTTGAAATAAAGATCTATTCAACCAGTAACGTTAAGTTTCTATTCTGTTCTATCGATCTTTCATATCTTATCATCATTAGATGATAGGAAATTCAAGTGAATTTATTCGGAATAATGTGAAAACATAGGTATTTCGAATGAAGTTGTTTGAATTCACTGTCATCAAAGTACTTTTTTTTAACAAGTTCGTTCACTAGTTAAAGATGATGATGATGATGACTATAAAACGAATCTAGCAAAAAAAACAGGGTTGAGAATAGTATCGTAACAGAGATTTTTTGATTTTGGTATAAGCTTGAAAGTCTGTAATTGATTGATCATTTCTCCTAGTTTTTGCAGCTTCGTCCACCGTATTACGTCGTTCAATAATATTTATAGTCGTTTTGTAAGATTTCTGGTAATGGTCAAAAGAAAAAGAGCTCCATAGTTATCTCCTTTTTATTAAAAGTAGCTGAAGTGGTACATCTCGACGAGCACAATGAATATTCCGCATTTAAGTATTCCAGAATTTTTCGCTATTGTTCAAAAAAACTTTTTACAAAGATTTAATATTTTTGACAATGTTTTTTCAAAAAAAAATTGATAAAACCAAAAATTTTCAATGAAAAAAGAAACTTCACAAGAAGAAATAGGATGAGTTTCTCACATATGCTCTATTCTCTTATTGCAGCAATAAAGAGAAGAATAAAATACAAAAAAAAAACATTTTCTTTTCTCTCGTCTTAAATATAATTTTCAAGAGCTTTGTTGATTCGACTTTTTCTTTAGTCAGAACGATTCATGACCGAAAGCAAAGTGAGTATCATCTACAAAGTACAGAAAGGACGCTGCTTGATTACAAATCAGGATGTCTCACAAGGCGAGATTCTACTGGTATCAAAACCATATGGTCTCATTCCATCCGTGACGAAAAAGAGTGACGTATGTGCAAACTGTATGCATATTTCGAAAGAGCAAACCAATACAAAGGAGGTGGTCGCATGCCGTCAAAGTTGTCTTCATGTATATTACTGTTCAGATAAATGTGAACAACAGCATTGGGACAAATTTCACCAGTACGAATGTTCATTTCTCGACGAAGTATGCGCCTTACAAGATTATAATTACAACGAATATGTTATTGATTGTGCTCGACTTGTTATGCGCATGCTTACTCTGCGATTACAAGATCTCTTAGACAAGTCACAAAATGTTTTACTTGAAGATGCTTTTATGCTGTTATCACATTTCGATGAATTTTCAAGAGAGAAGAAAAATGAATTTGGAACTGTAGCCAAAACGCTAACGAAATATATATTAACGCGACTCATTCCTCATTTAACCAAAGATAATCATGAATTTATTAGTTTCATTCAATCCTTCTTACCAGATAATGCAGATGCTAAAAAAGTCGAAATTGTCGATTCTGATCGATGGTTAACTGAAATGGCTCGTTTATGTTCACTCTCCGATGATGCCGCCATTATCGAAATATTAAAATATCTACTAAATAAAGTGTACATCCTTATTTGTGTGGAAGAAATCAACGGATTCTATCATAATACTTTTGCGTTCGATGGTTACACTCAAGCACATCAAATGTATGCTCGGGGAATGTATTCATCTGCTGCTCTTTTTAATCATTCCTGTTCACCAAACATCGATCGTTTCCTAATTAAAGAAGATGGAACAAAGTTTCAGATGGGTGATCTTGTGTTCTTCGCAGCGTACTCTATAAAGAAGGATGAAGAACTATGTATAAACTATGAAGGACGACGATATGACCTTTATATGCGCGATCAAGTTAATGTTGATGATATCATCAAAAATCAAATAATAAGAAAACAAGAACTGAAAGAGTGGTATTTCTTTGATTGCGAATGTACACGTTGTGTCAGCGAATCAAAGGGAGAGCTTGATCAGTCTCTTATGGCTTTCGTAAAAGAACTCAAATGTACAAAGCCAAAATGCAAAGGTTGGCTCATTCCATCCATTGAAAAACATACTATGTATTGTGAAGCATGTAGAATGTCACGATAGAACATTTTGTTTTTGTATCTATGAAACAAAATTTTAAACATATAACTAATATAACGTTTGATTACATGATCTTACTCACGTGATTACGATAACAATAACAAAATATTTGGTCTGAGGGTGTGGGTGAGTATAGAAGAAACATTCACACCTACATCTATATTATGCATCGTTTAAGATATTAATGGTGAGGGGTTTATGGCTGAGTGCAGCGGCAGATCTAGAATTTTTTTGATAGGGGGCGATTCGTTAGATATGGGGCAACTTTGATCAAAAAGTGAGTTTTGAAGTTTATCAGTAGTAGTATGAACCCTATTTTTAAGACTTTTATGCTAAAAAAAAAATCGAAAATTTTTTTTCGAATGGGGGCGATCGCTCCAAGCACTTCCCCCCCCCCCCTAAATCCGCCACTGACTGGGTGTGGGTACGTAATTGGGGATGAAAATGTGGATGTGATTATGAGTGTAGAGAATATCTACACCCACAAATTGGCAATTAATATCACCACAAGACGAATCAACAATTCCATTGAATCTTTTACCAGATGAACACAAATGTTATTTATTTGTTTTACCAAAAGATAAAGACGAAGAAGTTTATCATTTAAACATTCTTGTATGTACTTAAAATAGTCATTATCGATTTATTCATTAAAGATTTATTTCTAAACAGAAATTTGATGTACCATCTACTGTTGACAATCATTTTCTTATTGTAGAAACCTCTTGAACAATATGATATTTCTATTCCACATATAACTGTACAAACAATAAATCAATCATCAATTCGTATAAATTAGTTTTTAGATTGATCGAATACCAACAGAAGCATCTGTAACTATCTATGGAGTTCATATAGTTGGTCAAAAATTTTCTGATAAGATCAAAAGTAATTACTTTAACTTTTTTTTTCATTTTTTAATTATACAGTCTTTAACATGATGATTGCATAGAACATAGTTGATGTGTATCTAATATTCAATTGAACGTAAAAGATATTTCCGATCGACATAAATATATGTAATAAATTTAAAAAATTAACGTTGAAGTACTTTGTATTTTGATTGGTGTTTTTTCTTCGTAGAGTTATATTCAGGCTTTATTTTGCTGTTCAAGAACAAAGTGAAACAAATTATTTTACAACAATATCCAACGAAATAAAAATTAAACTCACTATTTCATTAATTGATCTATTACCAACACCTGTACTTAAGATAATACATGTTGGATTGCGAATAATAGCTTTTTTTCTCAGAAAAAGAACTTTTTAAAAGTAATGTTTAAAATAAATTTTAGGCTAATTTTTAATGGAAACTAGATGATTCTACTGATCAATCATTAATCAAAGGTTGTTGTAAGATTTCAATACGTACAATAAATGATATACAAGTATCAATTACTTGTCATTCAGATTTTTCTGAAGAAAAATTCTCTAACTTAGTATACATTATGTGTCCACTACCACTTAAGATTCAGTCAATGTAAACTGAAAAACCATTTTCAATAGGTATTAAACGAAAAATTGATAATAATATTCAAGACGAAATAACATCCTTTAAAATATTTCTCATTGGTAAACTTCATTATGAAATTGATACCAATAGACATTATTCATTTAAATATGAATTTGCTAAATTATAAGCTGATCAAACATATTCAATTTACAATAAATCATAAATTGGACAAAAGAGACTTGAGGATAATGTTTACCAGTGTGATAATAAATCAAATCCATCAAATGATTTATTATTAAAATGTTTTACTCCACCTTAAGGAATGTTACCACAATTAGAAAGAATGTATTGATATTGTTTGGGATGCACCTATTTAATACGAAAATGTCAAAATGACTATATGTTCGTTTTTTTTTCTTGGATTCAGATTCTCTAATATGAGTAAAACCGTTCTGATACTAAGATTAGAACGAAAATCAATACTATCTGATGATCACATTTGTCATGACTTATGTATGTTTTTCTCATGCACAACTGAATTATCATATACTCAAAAATGAGATCAAACTTTTTCTGATCGAAAACAGTATATTTAATATTTTAAAGGAATATCAAGTATTAAAAAATGATCGAACTATTGACCTATTAAAACCAATTGATAAATAACGGGGTTCAATTTATGATCTTGAAGTTGGAAATCGATATTCATTGTAAATTATACCAATAACTAATCAATCGGATGGTAGTCTATTTCAAACAGGAGACGATTAGATTAATATATTTTAATTTTTTAAATAAGGATTAATATAGTTTCTTTAGAATATGATCTAGAATAACAAACATCTTGTTTACCAGGACCAAAACTTGATGTTGACTTTAGAGATTTATTACAAAGTTCATCGAAATTTTCGATTAAAAATATATCTGGACATTCAGCAATTGTTCGTTGGTCTGCAAGTAAGTTTCAATAAAACAGAAAAAAACCAGGACATTTACTGACTCAAAATACAGATATTCAAATGTCAAATAAACTACATAATATTTGACATTTCTCATTGATATTTTAAACGAAAAACAAAACATTTTTTTTTCTAGATACCTACATAGTTTCAGCAACATCAAAAATTTTAAAATTTGAAACAGGTTTACCACTTTATGCTCCATCAAATATAAATATAATTGCTTGTACAAATACAATTGTACGTATAGGTTTTGATCAATTTATTGAACATAGTGATGAAATCATAGCATTATATTTTCATTGTGAATCTATACCATCATCAAATACACACATACGAAAGAAATTATTCTTTATTCAAAAGAATTTTTTTTATCAAATATTACTGAACAATATATGATATAATAGATAAATATTTACATGAAATTTATTGTCGTGATATATTACAATTACCAAAAAAATTAAAAACATCTTATTCATTAACAAATAAAAGTTTACAATTTAGAACAAATGGTTGCGAACCAACAAATCTATATAACTTAATTGGATATTACCAAAAGTTTATGATTCAACAAAATTTCTTGGTCAAATACTTCATTGGAAATTAGAACGTGGTGATATAGAACATAGTATGGAACTTGATTGTAATATAAAGAATACACTTATACCTGGAATATTACCATTAGGTACATGTAAAATTTCACTTGATTCATTATTTAGTATAAAATTAAATATTGATAATGAAATAAATCGAAAAGAAATACGTTTAACAACAACAGAAATGGATGTGAGTGTGGGTGTGGGTTTTCCATATACAACCACGCCCACACCCATCCACACCCACATCCTTCCTGAGCAGTTTGTGATGTTCTCATTTCGTTCTTCAAACGTAGCAACGAAGCTTCTGAGATTCCGGGCATAGCTACAAGCCGAGCATTGCAATTGTTAAGAGAAATCATTGGTCCATCTTTTTCATTTTCAACAAAGGAAATAACACTAAAGAAAATTTTCTTCTGATCAATGAAGAAATGAGTACCTTGTGGCACAATAACAATAATGTCCAAAAAAATTCAGTGAATGAAACAATGTCCGATTATGTAAAAAATATAGTAAGTGAAGAAATCCAAAAGTAACATGATCATCTACAATGATTTGCTATTCAGAACAACAAATAAATCAAAACCATGAACCTCTAGTTTAAATTAAACGTTGATATTTCAGTGCCAACGCAGTTCTTTGCGTCCTCTATATGCCACTCAGTACAATTTATATCAAAGATTTAATGACAAGAAAAAATAAATGTAAATCTATATTCATATGCATTACATATATAATTCGTAGTACTTAGTATGACGATGGGATATTGTAGAAGAATGTTTAATTATATTGAATTACGTATGTTGATATAAAAACTATCATTACAACATACAAATAAGTATGCGATCGCTATTTATAGAAAATCTAAGATTATTTCTATAATGTAAGGATTACCTTTTTTGACTCTCAAATTCTGTATTATTTATGTTTAGTTTTTGGATGTAATTTGTTAAAATACATTTATGAACCTAGGTATACATGACCATTAATCGACTAAGTAATCACGTTAGTTGCACATATCATTGCTGAATACATCCTAGTTGACTACGTGATAATAATTGTTTCAAATCAGTACAATATTCTTTATTATCGAGCACAAGAAGTTCTATGTAGATTAATTCACTGACAAAAATGAGAAAGTAATTATTTGAATTTAGTATAGAAGCATAGATTGGACCTTGCTCTATCTAATACGAATATCAAAATCAAAAAATTATTCTATTGGCTTACCACTTCGCTGTATTCTTAGGAAAGATTTCCAAGAATGACCTTGTTCAAAATGATTTTGTCTTCTACAATATTATAGGAAAAGTTATCCCACAGTCTCTTCTTTCGATTGGTGAAAGCTGCAGGTCGCTAGCTATTACGGTTGCCGAGTTATTGAGTTGACACTCACCCCTCTTTAATTCTGGCGCCGACAATACTTTTGTACTTGATGTGGACTTTTCTACTTAAAGTCTGCTGTTTCTCCCTAGATCGCAGAACTATAATAAACTAGAATCAATGACTCTGGTAGAAAGAACAATCATACTCTATGCATGGAATTAATTTCTGGCTGTTCGTGTTCAAGTAAGAGTACTGATCTGTTTCTTCAACAAGAAGTTTTGAAGAAAATTATCACTAATTCTCATTTTCAAAAGAAACTTGACTATCCAAAATTCGCCCTTTAAAGGGTTAATTTTATTTTAATGATAATAGCCTATACTTAGATTCGAATGATGACTAGTATTAGTAGAATATGGCATTTCTTCTGATCTGAAATGAAATCTATGTAATATGTATCATTTGATTGCATGATACATCGTTTTGACGAGAAATAACGAAGTAATAGAGCAAGAAAAGCATTAATATAGTTTTATTGATCAAAATCAATTTATCGTTTGAACAATTTCTTTTCCAGAATAAAAAATGGAGCTTCAAAAAAGATTACAACGACAATAGCTGCAACATAGCTGAAGAATAAATTTGAAATGTAAGCGTTAACTATTACATGTGGTTGAACGAACATAGGTGTTGATTGATTATAGATAGTTATAAAAATAATCATCACGTGGATAAGATACGTTGAATAATTAAGACGAGCTAGAGGAGTCCAAATTGGCCATGAAAGAATCGTATTAACTGTTCCACCTTGATTGGTACTACACAAAAAGACAAGCCAACCGATGCATAGTGCCCAACATGGACGAGAAAGTGTATGATAAGCAATAAGTGCTGACCGATTAAGACCTGGTACGCTAACATAATCAGGGTATATTACAAAGATACAGATTAAGCCAAATATGGTAGTCAGAAGACTTCCAAATATTTTTGTATAGATATTTGAACGATACGAACGGCCAGTATTGATGACAATAAAACCAGTCAAAAGACCGATAGCATAAGCGGATATGCGACCCCACGGTTTAATATAGATTTCGGTGTAGTAGGTAACACCGACATATAAATAAAAGATTAAAAACACTATTAGTATCACTTGAAAAATTGCAAGAAGTTAAAACTTACTGGTTGCAAGAGGCCTGTTATAGCGTTCAGATTCATATTAGGATAATACAAAAGAATACCTATCACTGACCCAATACCAACGAGAACGAATAGAGTAGCCATAATAAATGCAATGGACTTTCGACCAATGACAAATGGTATGAGAGCAAGTGGTGCAATCCAATGAAACTGCATATCATTGTGAAGATACCACGAAGCAGACAAGCATATATCATCGGATTTAAATAGATTACCAATGTAAAGAATAGATAGCCACCAACCACGATGACTACAACCATCAGGTTCAAATCCTTGTTTGGATGGATAGAGAGGTCCGCGACCGAAGTAGGGTGTCAAATTAATGCTCACAAGAATGACAAGAACAAAGGTCGGTGTAAGACGAATATATCGATGAATATAATAAAGAATAAATAGACGAAATGTAAGTTTTTCTTTGGTGATTTGTCTAATAAAGAGAACTGCTGTTAAAAAACCGCTGAGAACAAAAAAGGTGTCCACACTGAAGAGACCACTGACAATCAATTGAAATGCTATATTCTGAGACCAAGCAAGTGCATCGATAGAATTGCTTGCAAAATTTGCGTTAAAAACAAATGTATGACCAAAGATCACCCAGAAAAGTGAAAGTACGCGGAGACCGTTGAGAAAATCAAATGAATCACTATTGTTTTTCATTTCCATTGTAAATATACGACGTAATGTACGTACAGCCGAAAATTGCGCAATGAATATTGCTGCTGGATGTGTTGTATCGAGTAAAACTTTCATACGAAAATGTGGATGTCGTGACAATGTCATCGATTTAATCTGGGGCAATTCGATAGGCGATATTCTATTGTGGTCGTTTATGTGCGAAGTAATATGAGTGCCTGATTCAAGACGAGAAGCAAATACAAGATCGATGATAGTACCGACTAGGACGAGAAGACTGAGTAGAGAGAGAACAACACAAGTGGCTATCGCACCGCGTGATAAACGCTTCTGTTTACTGGCATCATCATTCGAACAATGTACGTTTTCTTCGGCAATATTGCTGTTATTGAATAGACTTTGAACTAATGAAAGAATGGATTGAGAATTACATGAAGAAGGTACACAAACTCCAAGAAAAAGTGGACGAGCCAGTATTTGTGGCGGTATAATGCCGCTCAGAAGTAGAGAACCTAAAAAAACATTCTCTCTTGACTTTCCACATTCATAAAGCGAATAACCTATACTTACAGTATTGACCATTGAACGGTTGTTGTAAGAATGTTTTTTTCTCAGGTTGATATAATGAATCGAGACATTCATCGTAATTACCCACCCACCATCTATTTCCTTTGAGTAAACCAGATGGTAGGGGCTTACCCCATGCATCTAAGATTTTGATTGCCCAAACCTCACGATTTACAGCTGCCTCGAATAAGAGTAGAAAGTCCTTCTCGCATTTAGTTGTCGTATTACTGTTAGAAGATGCTAAGATAGATGTCAATATCTCAGCAGGTGTGATACTGTATGACATACGGTCAATGTCGTGAAGTGTGAATTGTTGATGCTGAAGTAGTTGATCGATAGCTACATCGAAACGAAGTGGAATAGTTCGGTATTCTCTTTGAGAAACGACGTTCGGTAGCGAAACAAGAAAGAATAGCACGACAGAAAACATTGCAAATATCTTTTTGTTTATCAGATGTATGGCGTATGTCTTATGTCACTGTAATAATAAGAAAAAGAATACGTTTATAAATCACTTCAGTTCTAATGATAAAGGCTGATTAAATTTCGGTGTTCTTATCTTTTCACGATGTCACAAAATAACTCCTACTAATATCATTCGTTCGATGTATATGAGTATTTTTTTTTATAAATATTAGTGACTTTTAGGAAAGCCCTCGACACATTAGAAGACCAGGGATCTTCTATTCTGAACAACAAATCCTAATTTCAACACTTTTTTGTCCAATACATCGTTAATAAACGAGTTCATTTTACTTATCTCGCGCTCCTACAATGGAAAAGAAACGAATAATGTTTTGACGCAAAAAAAAGAAAACAATCGTTGATTAGAAGAATATTCTTGAAACAGTATAGACAGCATACTCTAAAATTTTGGTGCGATTTATAATAGCACTATTTTTATCTAAAGAATGCAATCTATCACTGGTAATTTTCTTGTCCTATATAGCTACACCCTTGGACAAAAGTCTGTTCCTCTCTTTATTTCTGTACTATCATACTTTGCATCAAATTTATTACCAAACAAAGATATGACATAAGAGTTTTATTTCAGTATGATGATCTACATCGTGTTGAAATAAAACTTTAATGTCATATCTTTACTGTGCAATAAATTCGATCCAAAGCATGATAGTATAGAAGCAAAGAGGTGGAAAGGCTTTTGTCCGAAGGTGTAAATAACTTAAAGAAAGAAAATTCAACCTTTTTCTGTCAAAATTATTTTAGTTAGTTGTTTATGTTGAGAATTGGCTCGTATAAAGAGAATTGGTTCTTGAAGATGGGTGAGGGTGATGATGAGATTAGGAAATAAAATATATTCAAAGCATTATACGAGGCGTTTCGTCTGTTGCTCAGG